TCAAAGATTGTTGAGGCAATACTCCTAACCAAAGTCAGAGATTCCCAACCTACCAAAAACAGCATATTGTGGGAAAAGCAAGGGTTTTAATTACATTTTAATCCCAGTTCTAAGCATTTGCTAGATCCTGGGCAAGTTAATTTCTTCATGTGAAACTTGTTCACTCTTCAGAGTTGTTATAAACACTACCTGTATCTTGAGGGATTCTAAGGATTTAAGCTGATATATTTAAATTATCCACCTCAAATCCCCAAATCTAGGAAGATGTAGCGCCAATAGGAAAGAGGTATGTACTTCTCTAATGAATATGATCTTCTAGTGTCTTTATTCTTCATCTTGAATTTTAGTTAATTTTGACTCTAGATCTTACAGAAGAAGACTATTTCTAAATATTGGTTCATTTTTACAAAATTCAATGGCAAGCAATACTTGTAAGAAGTCAATTTTGGCTGAGTGTCTTGGCTGAAACCTGTAATCCCAGAACTTTGGGAGGCTGAGGCAGGATTGCTTGAGGCTGGAAGGCAACATGGCAGGACCCTGACTCTACCAAAATCTATTCAGGCATGATGACACACATCTATAGTCCCAGCTACTCAAGAGGCTAAGATGGGAGAATCACTTGAGCCCAGAAGTTACAGGCTGCAGTAAGCTATGATGCACTCCAGTCTGGGTGACAGCAAGACCCTGTCTCAAAAAAAAATAAATAAATAAAAATACAATTTTCATGTCCTAGAGACTATTTAAAACAAAGGCTTTAGAAAATTAATATGGCAACACTTTCAGTCATATCTGGTCTTCCTAAAATAAGGGGTACCACCTGAAGGTAAGCATGTTACATACTGATAAAAATTGAGTGCCCTAGTTAGTATTTAGTGCTAACCTTGCCAGGAAAAAGAGAATCAGCTATCTTCTTGGCCCATGTACCAGATCTAAAATGAAACTTGTTTTCTTGTAGAGTAGGCAGTGTAGTTCAAAATATTGATACACGTACTGTCAGACAACTTCACTTCCTGATTCTGTTTTACCATTCTATGGAGTCATAAATTATTCAGGGAAATACTGCCAACTAACTTGTTATAATTTTGGAATTGTTCCCATATCCTTAAGCTCTTAGTGCTTTGCCATGGGGGAATGCATAAAGTCTTCCATTAGTAGGCCAACAATTGGGATATTTTAGATGTTCATACTAGATCACAAAATAGCATTGTAAAAAATAACCAAATCCATAAATTATCTCTAATATTATAAAAAATATAAATTTAAGACATCAGTTGTTTCTAAATTACATAGCTTCATCACACTTACTCTGAAAGCTAGGTCAACTAAACCTAACAGAGTTTTTGGAGGGAAAAACTCCATGCAAAAGAACCAAAGGGATACTTACTCCTTCCTGCTACTTCTGAGCAATGAACACTTGGACAATTACCATCTATTAAAGACTAGCCTAGCTGCAGATCTCAGGCTTCAATTCTAGTTTTCCCAGGATATGGAGTCAAGGGTTTCCTCCAAGCCTGAATTCTCTGTTCTCTGGTCAGAAATTCATTGCATCTTGCTAAATTAGTACAGGGCTTGAAAGGGGGAAAAAACAAAAGCACATCAGTTTTACCAAGAAAAGGAAATCCTGAACCAGCAAAATAATTACCATGAGTTTGGGCCCCAAATTGAGAAAGTTAGCTCTTTAAACTAAAAGCCAACCCCTTCTCCTAATGAGCATAGCCATCACGGCTCCTTCTGCTGTGCTCTTACAAGACACTAACTGGGGAAACAAATTATAACTTAAATTCCAGTACCTTTAGTCTGCACTGGTTTTGTATAAATGAACTGGTTTATATGTTCCAAGTAAATTGCCAGTTTTTATTGCCTGGAAACTTTCTGAAAAGAAATTTCCAAAATTTGGTATTTTGGGGAAGTATAGCTGTCAACTACCATGAACCCAGTGTTATTCTCAGATCTGCTTTCCCCCACTCAAGGCCACACAAGAACCACCTTTACATACACAAAATGTAGGCAAGAAAGACATTTGAAAAACCTCACAGAAATCTAACATCTTATGTTTTCTTTTACTTACTTTTTGGGCTAGACCAAACAAAATCTTAGAATGGCCCATCTATAATATTGGTTTGTGAACCTCTGAAGATACTTAAGAACATAACTATGCATATATATGCCTTTTAAAAGTTGATAGAATAAAGGGATTCAATTATTTGGGTTTTCTGTTTGTTTAAACTACATTATTACCTGCTATTTTGCCTGCTATGCTCTTCCTCTCCACTGCAGTAAAAATTCAGTTTAACTTGCAACTCAAAAATCCTAGATATAAAGAATGTTTACATTTACTGTTGAACTTGTAAATTACCATTGAAACTAATTGATTGCTTCATAGTACAATACAAATACTTAATTCAGAAGATTTATTGAATCCTGTCAAATTTCAACAAATACGAAATTTTGTTGCTTTTAATACGCTTTCTTCCTATTATATTTCACTCAATATCCAAGTTAAGGCAAAAAGCCAAATCAAAGCTTTAAGTATATTTTTTGGCTGAATTTACAACTGGTATTTTTTACCTTATAAAAGGTGTAATTAAAAAATTACAGACACACTTAAGTCATAAAAGTACAATTTTCCTTTATGTGAACTGATGGTTTCCCTTGCTATTTTCAAGGCAGACACTCTCAACATTAAAAACACATCAAACCGGAAAGAGGAATACACGCATACCTTCCACTGGGACGAACATTTTAAAAAATGTGTTGCTATAATAAACTGATGCATTTCATTTTGGTTTGATGCCTAGTCTTCATAATTAGGCTAATAAAACTGCCACTAAAGGTAATTTTTCTTTTTCAAAAGTAAACTTGTAAAATTGCCTTTACATTTAACTCCAAACATGGTTCTCAGCCAGGAATGCACATCATCTGTGACGGTTGTTAAGACACACATACCTTAGCCTGGATTAACCCTAGGGTAAGAGTCAGACCCAAGAATACCTCTTTAAACAAACATTTGGGGTGATTTTTATTAGAACCTTTACCCCCTTCACATTAAGAAACATGCTGTGGTGTAAAAATTAATTTAAACCTTTAGTAGGATTTACTTAATGTGTATTTTATAACTTTGGTAACTTGATAACCTTTCATCAATAGTTATAATTTGGGGCCTCAAATCATAAGTAGTGGGTGTTATTACTATCCATTGTAAGGTGAATTGCTTTTCAAGTTAGGAAAACACATCAAATAATCACTACTACCACTCTGCACAGTAATTGCAGACACTTCTCTAATGCTTACCAAATGCTAGATGCTCTATTAAGCTCTTTACACATACTAACTCAATCTTTAAAACCAGATAAAACAGGTATTTTCATTCTACAGCTGACAAAAATACAGTAGTGACACAGGCAATAAATGGGGAGCCAGGATTCCAATAGCACTGTGGTCCTAAAGTCCTTGCTCTTCCAGTATGTTCTATAGCCTGTCTACATGTTAAGTCAACCAGTATTTATTACCTGGGATTACTATTAAATTTTGGTTAGTTTTTGAGGCATTAGGACTATTCTTTCCTTCCAATGGTCAATAACAAAGTCATATGTTAAGCTTTGAGAAGTTATATCCAATTATTCCCAGTTAGGTACCATAAATTAATATTTAACATTTCAGTCTGTCAGTTTTAGGGCTTCAAGTCTTTTCTTAAAAGAGAAAAATTCTAATTTTTTTTTTTGGGGGGGGACAAGAGTCTCACTTTGTCACCCTTGGTAGAATGCCGCAGTGTCATAGCTTTTACAGCAACCTCAAACTACTGGGCTCAAGTGATTCTCTTCCCTCAGCCTCCCACGTAGCTGGGACTATAGGTGCCTGTCACAACACCCCGCTATTTTTAGAGAGGAAGTCTAGCTCTGGCTCAGGCAATCCACCTGCCTCCGCCTCCCAGAGTGCTTGGATTACATGTGAAAGCCACCCAGCTTGGCCCTAAATTTTATAACAAAGCTTCATGAAACCAAGCTTTGGTTTAAGAAAATAGCTTAACTATCTTCATTTGTAAAACACTGCTGGTGGTATGCTTCTCATTAAGCCATCTTCCCAAATCAGTATAACATTTGTGGGACAGGTCCCCTTATCTCCCCAGGTGTCCTAACTTAGTTTAGTTCAGAGACATTATCCTGACACCAGGATCTCCAAAGGGCCCAAGGTTTCTTTCTGATTTCCCTATCTACACACATACTTTCAAAACAAGTTGTTTTTTTTTAAATGACAGGATCACTTCTACACCTTTTATCTCCCTACAGCAAAGCCCTCTGAGAAAACATGTAAGAAAGGCAGATCATAGGGACAAGTCTGTTAGCAACAGTCCTGCCTACACAATACCAGGTGAACCCCCCAAAACAGACCAAGGTAATCTGAACAAAAACATTTTCTGATGTCACACAATTACACCAAATTTCTTTCCAGTGCTTTTTTGATTCAAAGGATTCTCTTGCAATCGTTTGTGGCTACTCTTGGTTACTAGTATGCTCTTAAGATACTTGTTAACAATGGGACTAAAACAAACATTAATACATTTTATTTAGACGTTTTCAGGTTTTTATTAGTCCCTTTTTCACTGCCTTTCTGTTCTATCTTGTAGCCATTGGTAATAGAAAAACAGTGACTTTCTGGGTTGAAAGGGTGGTGAAGGTAGAAGGGAGAGGTGATGATTTCTGCCTCTACCTCTCCATCACTATCCTCCTAAGTTCCAATTCATCAAAAAAAATTCATGAAATAACACTACTTGTCCCCTTTTGCCAAAAAATTTACAAACATAGCACAAGTCCTTAAAATAAGATTGGCTTATACCTTAGGTCCAAATTTTTTATCTAATGGAAGGAATACTTAAGAATTTATTGAAATCTTTACCTTATACCAAATATTCTGTTCCATAGCAATGCTGTGTGGGAGTACTTCAAAGCTTATCACTATACCAATGCTAATAGCTAAACATACCCTTTTGTCAACACACCCTGGAGATTTTAAAAACACTTTATTTAATAAAAGTTAAACATACAAAACTGAAATTAACATACATCCTAAAATTATCATCTTCCATTAATAGGAAGACCCTTTTCTATGCATGTATTTGGCTTAAACTCAACTGACAGTAACTGTGATGGTCACTTACATCAACAAATGCTGACTTGATCTAGTTAATGAAAATTATAAACTCAGCTACATGAACATAATATACAGGGAAACTATGGTCAGATTAATGCACAAGAAATACAGGAAATTTTAATGAAACATTCAGTACTCTTGTTCATTAATTTAGCCTTTTTTTTTTTTTTTTTTTTACAAAAATAGTATCTACACTGTATACAGGGCTATACATCAGCTTTTTGTTTTCCCATATAAACATCACATATCCCAAACATGGTACCACAACTAAGTGAAAAAAATCAACACTGGAAAAAAGCAAACGTACAGAAAACAAAAACTCCTTAGAAAAAGTAGCTCATCCTAAACATGGTTTCTTACATAAAACTAAAATTCCAATGAAAGTAAAAGAGCTGGATCAACTTCAGAAATGGCATAATAGGCCTAAGAAACAAAGTATTGAAGGAAAAACTTCAAACTCTGCCATTTACAAATTAACCTATATTTAGGCTTTAACTGGACAAAAGCTAGGTTTTAAAAGTTGAAAATTAAAAGATCTCTTTACAGGCTGGTATTTTGCCTTGATGTTCCAATGAATTACTAGAGTTATGTATCAAGGTGAAAGCATCTGAAAATTCTAAGTTATGACTTACAAAAAGCATATGCCATAGATTAAGTGGGGCCTGATAATAGGAAGATCAATAATTCATCTAAGTGCTGTATTAAGCAGCATCTAGAAAAGTTGCTTTATTCAACAAACTTTGAGGGAATTGTGGTAATAGTAATGAAAAAGTTAAATGAATAGCAATTATCAAATTCAATTTCTTCAAGTTTCATTCTACTGAAGTCAAAACAATGAAGACAATGGTATCTTCCTTACTCATCTAACAAATAATTTACCTTTAGAAAAATATAAGGATAAAAAGGTAAATGTAAAGCCCTGCAGAGATGAAATCCAACAGTTTTTCCGATTATTGAGGCATCAAATGCCTAACATTGTATTTAGAAGTATCTTGATATTGTGTCATAGGTTTATCAGCAATTCCACAAGTTCCTACTCCAACTTTGCCTGTTACACTCTCAGGTGAAGCAAAAATACTCCTCTTTACCTGGAGAAAGAAAATAGAAACCATTCCTGATTAGTTTTCAAGTAAGTCAAAGTTTCAAATTTTAAGTCATGTTAAAACATACCCTTGTTGCAAATTTTACAAAGGGAAGTGTGTTGCCTTTCTTTATGGCAACACAAAGACATACTGGGTCCTAAAATGGTCTCATGCTGGAAACCACTTACTCTTAACTTGTAAGTTGTGAAAAATACTACTACACACTATTAACATTCATAATATTTGCCTTCAGGTGTCTTATTTTAGTTTTGGGTTTGGCGCCCATAGCACAGTGGTTAAGGCACCGGGCCACGCACCAAGAGGCTGGTGGGTTCAAAACTCGCCTGGGTCAGCTAAACAATGACTACTGCCAACAAAAAATAGCCAGGCATTGTGACAGGCACCTGTCGTCTCAGCTACTTAGGAGGCTGAGGCAAGAGAATTAAGCCCAAGAGTTTGAGGTTGCTGTGAGCTATGATGCCACAGAACTCTATCTAGGGAAACAGCATACCTCTGTCTCAAAAAATTTTATTTTTGCAGATTCCAATCCTAATTTTAGCTATGAGACTATCCATTTTAGCAAGACTAAAACTCTGGCTGTATTGAACTTTACTGTGGAGACTATTAATTATGAAATCCATTGGCCCCTTGTGAGTCACAAAATAAACTTCATTATGAAAAGGAAGTGCTACTTTCCAGAAGTCATGTCCACCAGAGGAGGAGCTATCTGGACAGCAGCGAAAGCTAAGGTATGGATGACAGCCACATTATCCTTATTCTCAACCTCCCATATGAATGCTATGGTTATTTTCTACCTCATTCAAGAAAGCAAAGTGTGTATCAAGAGAACCTGAATGTTTTTTAAAATAACATCCCCCAGTGATACTCAGCATAAAAGCATATTTTATGCATAAAAGCATATCATTTTATGCAGTGATACCCAGCATAAAAGCATATTAAAGCAGGTCAGCAGACTGCCTGTAAGAGGTATGTAAGTTAGCAAATAACTCCTCAAACTTTAGTTTGTAGAAGGAACCAGCATAAACTTTCTGTAATTCCTGATATAAAGTCATTCATATCAGTCCTTATTGCAGAGATAGTGGAATAGAGATTACTTTTCAATAAGCCAAACTGAAGACTGACAAGGATTCCGAATCAAGATCTGGTTAATCATGTACTTCTAAAAATTTAATGTACCTCTCTTTGCATTTTAGAGTCATTTTAATTGACAGTTATACTTTTCAAATTCACAAAATGTGACTAAAAGGTTTACCAACCTGGCCTTTTTTGTTTTTAGAATAGGCTCTGTTGTTAAACTGTTGCCATTTCACCTTCTGATCTTCTCTTTCCTGCTCAAGTTCTTTTATTCTCTGTGCTTTTTTCAAAGCTTTCTTCTTTTTATATTCACGCTGCTGGGCAATCATTTCTTTTCTGCATGGAAAAAAACAGAGCTAAATGTTGGCTGTTAAGACTTAAAAAGGGCTCGGCGCCTACAGCTCAACCGGCTAAGGCGCCAGCCACGTACACCTAAGGTGGCGGGTTCGAATCCCCAGCCCGGACC